TCTCTCTCTCCCCCTCTCCCTCTAAACTGGAGTTTCATTCAAGACGAATACATTTCACCATGCAGTTTGTGGTGACTGTAACTATATCCACTTTTAAAGCCGTGAGTCCTCTAGGTCAACAAGAACGATAGGCCTGCCTAAAATAATATTATTTCGTGGTCTTGGTTTGATTTAATTTTTTGGTTAAATTTGATTCGGTTTGGTTTGGTTTGGTTTAGTTTAGTTTTGTATGTTTTTGTGGGGTTTTTTGTTGTTTGTCTTTTTTTTTGAACGAAGGGGGGGGGGGTATCTTTTAATGACCAACCATAAATGATCAATGCAGGAATATATGTTTATATGTTTTTTTAAACAAATAGATAAATGAGATAATAGGATTCGATCATAATTTTGCTTACTTAGATAAGGTTGCTAGGGTACTCGACGATCCGTATTTACCCTTTCCTAAACTGTAAACTCTGCACACACAGCAACATAATATACTTCGAACCCCTACTCCCCCCTCCCCCACCCCCAGTGATGATAATAATAATAATAAGCCCACAAGCCGTGGGGCCCACGTAATGAGGCGTACCTTCATTCATAAACACCTACGTTAAATTATTGTTCAGTGAAAAAAAGGCAACAAAAACCACAACACGCGAGCCACTGATTTTGATGTTGCAGACAGCAAGTTCCTTAACGAAATATTTCTTTTCAATATGAGTAACATTTAATTTCAACCCCGCCCCCACCCTCCTCCGGCTCTTTTTCTTTCCCTCGGGATTTTACAGGCGCACACTTCCCATTGAGAGATGCAGATACAAAGAAAAGGGTCAGCCGATGTGCATGGAGCAGCATTACAGACTGTTTACATCATACAGGGAGCCAGGGAGGGAGAGAGACGTCATGAGGTCGGACACGGGAACGCCTGGCAGAGATTTTATCATTGTAGCGTGTCGGAACCAGGTACTGAACTGAGACAAAATATAAATTGGTGAAAGCATTCTTGTCTGTTGTAAAGTGCCTTCATCTCTCTCCAGGAGGAAGAGTTGGACAGTAGAAGGAGGAGGGGATATTAAGGAGCTAAGGATCAGGAAGAGACAGACAAAGAGGAGAGCAGGGGGGAGACGGAAGAGAGGGGATGAAGACCGAAAAAGAGGAGGAGGCAGAAGAGGAAAAGAAGGATGTTGACTAAAAAGAGAAGGAATAGGATGAGAAAGA